AGGACTTTTGTTTTTTTTTTGTGGGGGGAGTGTTAGGGCAATCGGGTTAAGTGACTTGCCCAGGGTCACACAGGTAGTAAGTGTTATGTGTCTGAGGCTGGATTTGAACTCAGGTCTTCCTGAATACAGGGCTGGTGTTCTATTCATTGTGCCATCTAGCTGCCCCCCCCTTTTTTAAAGCACTATGTAGAGAGTAAACTGAAGATGGAAAAAGGGCTACAAATGCTTCTCAGGGTAGATACAAAAGTAACCCAAAGAAGGTAGAACTATTCAACTCTCATTTCATTTCTCTTTTCTCTACCAAAAAGAATGATCTTTAGACTGGGAAGTTAGTCATAAGACAAAAGTGGTCAAAAAAATTGAGACGCAAGAGAAGAGAGATATTGAAATCACACCTAGCTGGTCCCCAGTGAGTTCATGTCATTTGGCCTGGACCAACTGACATTCCAAGACAGGGGAGTCAAACTCAAATTGAAATAAGAGCTACTGAACTGCACATAAGTTTCCCTGTGGGTTACATATTGACTTAGAAAACCACTTATTAACATTATCTATATTTTATTATATTGTATTGCATTAATTTTGTTAAATATTTCCCAATTACATTTTAATCTAGTTTGGACCTTACTCCTGAGTGTTGTGAGCTATATGCATTTGACACCTCTGTTCCAAGATACTGAAAAAGTATGAAGAATGGGACAGATGCTACAGGACTGAGAATGGGCAAACATAGTTTGCTTGTCACAAATCCTAATTTTTTTTCTAAAAGGGAAAATGATGGAGTCTTCAGATTATAGTCCTGTAAGCATGGCTTCAATTCCTGGCAAAAATCCTAAAAGATACTATTAATAGTTTGTAAGCATCTGGAATGGGAAGCACCAGTAGTATTAGCCAGCATAACTGCATCCAAAACAGATCATACCACACTAACTTCACTTCCTTTTTTGACAGGTTTGGACTGGTAGATAGATCAGGAGAATTTAATTTGATTCAATAAGCACATATTGAGTGCCAATTATGTGTCAGGCAGTGGATGTAAAAATGCAAAATGAAACCAGTCCTCACTCTCAAAGAACTAACATTCTATTTATGAGGGGGTGGAGTGGGGTGGAGGGGGGATAAAGCACTTACATGGATAAACATACATAATTTGAAATGGCACAAAGCACTAACACCTAGGGAAATGAGCTGAATGTTGAAGGAAGCTAAGTATTCTAAGAGTCACAAAGTGCATTTCAAACTTGGGGGTAACCTGAATGAAGGACTAGAGGACAGAATGTGAACTTTGGGGAAATAAAAGTAGAACTATTTGGCTGAATTATAGAGTGTGTGAAGGAAGAGACAGATGGAGAGGGAGAACTGACAAATTTTGGAGGGAGAATTGACAAAACCTTGCAACATCTTAAATATGGGGGAAGGAACAGGAAAGAGTCAAGAATGACTTAACAGGGTTCCAAACCTGACTCATAAAGGATAGTATCCTCAACAGAAATAGGGAAGTTTAGAGGAAGGATGAGTTATGCAGGGATGATAATGTATTTTGGACTTTAACCAGTATGATGACCAGTTCAAAATGTCTAGTAGGCAGTTCAGCCTGAATCTCAGGAGAGATAATAGAATTAGATAAATAGATATTCAAGAAGCAGCATGGCACCATGGATGGAGAAGCCAGCCTCAGAGGCAGGAAGGCCTAGCTTGAGTTCCACCTCAGACACTTATTGGCTGTATGATCCTGGGCAAGTCATTTCTGGATCTCAGCTTCCTCATCAGTAAAATGGGGATAATGACAGTACCTACCTCCCAGGGTTGTTGTGAGGATCAAATGAGAAAATGTTTGTAAACTACTATATACTTTAGGCACTACATAAATGTTGTTGTCTGACTCTCTGTGACCTCCCCCAATTTGGGGTTTTCTTGGCAAAGATACTGGAGTGGTTTGCCATTTCCTTCTCCAGCTCATTTGAAGGATGAGGAAACCAAGGCAAACAGAGTTAAGTGACTTGCCCACAGTCCCACAACTAGAAAGTGTCTGAGGTCAGATTTGAACTCAGGAAGATGAGTCTTCCTGACTTCAGGTCTAGCATTCCATCTACTGTACCACTTAGCTGCCCCATATAAATGTTAGTTATTTAAAAAAAAAATTATTCATTACAAAACCTCCCAGTGCCTTGCCTTGGGCAATTCACTAAGACCAGACTGCAGCTTAGGTGCGGACCTGCATCGGGAGTTTTCTTATCAGAAGATCTCTATACCAATGAAATCCCAAGTCTGGTTCAAAATACATACCTCTCTCTGTACAGATACCCAAACAGGAGTTGATGAAATAAATTAAAAATAGAGAAAAAAGAGAAGAGGGCCCAGGACAAAGCCTTGAGGGACCCATGGTCAGAGGCTGAAAAATGGAAGGAGTAGGCAGTCAGACAGACAGAAAGATAACAAGGAAGGAGCTACCTCACAAAAGCTGAGGGAGAACAGCTTGCCTGGGAGGAGTGGCCAGTAGCATCCAAAAGTGCAGAAAAGTCGAAAAGGTTGAGGACTGAAAGGCCATAGGATTGAGCGATTAACAGACCACTGGTAACCATGGAGACAGCTGTTTCAGTGCAGTGGGGGGATCAGAAGCCGGACTGCAAGCAGGTTAAAAGCTGGGGAGCAAACACACGGAAATGACATTGCCTAGGAGTCTGACAAGGAAAGGAAGGATGGGGGAAAAATGGGCTCATTCATGGGCAGCAGGGATAGAATCAGATAACAGAGGAAAGCAGGGAGAAAAAGGGGGCAGGTTCCCAAATGACATGAGGTCCCAGCCAAGTATAGCCAACTATTGCTAAAAGATTGGAGCAAAGGAAGAGAGAATAGGGGGTGATCTAGAGGAGTTGTGAGGTACAGCATAGGGGATGAGAGCTTATGACAGATGGTCTATATTTTCTTAGTAAAGTAGGAGCTAAGGTCTTCTGCTGAGAGGGAGGCTAGTGGTGGTGTAGGAAGTTTGAGAAAAAAAGGGAGAGATTTGGAACAGCATCTGTGGGAAGTGTAGTGAGAAATCAGTCAGAGAAAAAGAAAAGGATTGTCATATAGCAGAAGGGCCCGGGGAAGACTGCTTAACATAAATTGGCAATAGATCCCAGTAAATACAGTTGTGTGACTTCTCCAGGTAAGATGGGCTAAAGCACAGCAAATCTGGGTTTCAGCGATGTATTTGACAAAATCCCTCATCGTATCCCTGTAGAAATGATGGAGAGATATGGGGGAATGAGACAACCAATAAGATACATTCAGAATCGGTAGAACAATTGGACCGAAAGAATTAAGGGATAGATGTCAACCTGAAAGGAACTAAATCCTGCTGTTTAGAACCAAAGATCAAATATAATAAAAGTCAAATTTAATAAGGTAAGATAAATCCAGATCTTCCTGGCTCCAAGAGCAGCTGTCTATCCACAGTGCCACATTGCCTCTCTTTTGCTTCTGAAGTAAATTTTAAAATTGAGAGCACATATCTCCTCTTGAGATCATATCATTTTCCAAGAAGCCTGCTACTTCCCTGCTGGGGTTCACTGCCCACAAAAATCTGTTCAGGATCCCTTGGTCAGAAAAGCCCTATAGACCAACAGTCAGGGCTTGACAGGAAGTCAAGGCTTCTTGTATACTAATCAAATCATTTTCCCTTTTACAGACCCTGTTCTCACACTGTCCAAAGTCCTCAAGAGAAGCAGCTCAATCACAGATATAAGAGGGAGAAGCTGACAAAAACACCTACAGGCACAAAATAAATATAGGGTATTTGGATATTGTCACCCATGGCAATATTCCACCTGTGAATTTCATCAGTGCTTTCCTCTGTATTAAATTTACCACTGCCTTATATTCTCTTCTAAAGATTTACCCTGCAGACTTCAAGCTAAAGGCAGGAGTTGTAAACAGCATCCCTGGGAATGAGAACAGAATTAAAAAAAGAAAGATCAATGGAAGATTAAACAGATGGTTCCATTCCATGGGCACTGAAACCAACTGCTCCCTTACTCCCAGATTCCACAACTCCCAACTGCCATAATTTGCTTCTAAGATGGAGCTAAAAAAATAAAATCAATCTAGAATAAAAATGAGAGAATTTTCCCCCCTGCAGTGTATTGATCTACCCATTGTTGCTCAAACAACACCAAGCCAAATTGGATCATTTGTCTCCTTCCATCAGGAGTCATAACTACTCTTTGCTAAGAATCAAAAGTGGAAGTTCTATATGAAGTACATTTGAAAAGAAAAAAAAGAGGGAACAATATTTGGCACCTAAGGGATGCATTCTCCACCTTGAGAGCAGAACCAGAAAGCTAAGCAAAAAGCAATACACAAAACAGGCATCAGACCTTCACAAGGAATGTCAGCTACAGAAGGATAAAGCAGAGTGGGGGGAGCATTAAGATATAGAACTCCTTAGGTGAGCAGAACCAAGAGAATGCTGTACACAGTAATGGCCACATTGTTCGATGACTAACTTTGAAATTTTAGTCCTTCTCAGCAATGCAAGACATCTCCAAAAGTCTCATGATGGAAAATGCTATTCACATCCAGAGAAAGAACTATGGAGTTTGAATGCATATCGAAGCATACTATTTGCTATTTTTTTTTCTTGAAGCATACTATTTGCTATTTTTTCTTCTGTTTTGTTTTATTTCCTCTTTCTGGTGGTTCCTCCTATAGGTTCTAATTCTTCCTTGCAACATGACTAATGTGAAAATATGTTTAATAGGAATGTATATATAGAGCCTATATCAGATTGCACACTGTCTTGGGGAGGGAGGAGGGGAAGGGGAGAAAAATTTAAAACTCAAAAGCTTATGGAAGTGATGGTTGACAAATCAAAATAAATTAATAAAAAAAATAATAAAAAAGATACTCTTCATGCAGGTAACAAGATACGGGGAAAGCCTTTGGGTGAGTCACGCCCATTCTTACTCAAGATGCACTGAATCATTGAGCACCTCAAGTCAGGTTCAGTCACTTACCTGCTCTGTCTCGACAAAGTTGGACACATGTCCATCATCATTCACCCCCCTGATGTGAAACCGGGCACCAGCTCGTTCACAGCTGATCCGGGAGATGAGGCAAGCTTTGGCCTGTTTATGTGAGGCATAGACGGTGCGGATGGCCACCACTCCACAGATCACCTTCAGCAGCCAGTCAGAGCAGTTCACTTGGAAGTGCTTCAAGGGAACATGCAAGAGCTGGTTCCTGCAAAATTTTACCAAGGGTGGATTAATCGGACAACAAAGACACAGGAAGAAGAAAGCAGATTAGCATCCAGACCAAGAAGAATGCTAGTCAAGGGCCCAACATTAACCTACAATGAGATTCAAATCGATTCATTCCAATAAGCATCTTTTAAGCATCTCCCCAGGGTCAGGCTGGGCTGAGTATGGAGGATCACAATAACAAAAGCAAAACAATCCTGGACCTCAAATTTTCCATTCTACTGGGAAATGATAAGTTTATACCACTCTCCTTCCTCAACCAGTCAACCCATTCCTTATCACGTAGCATGATGAGTCCTTTGTTTCTTCATCTAAAAAATGGGGATAATAATAGGACGTACCTCATAGAATTGCTATAAGAACCCTTGAAGGAAACCTTAAAACTTTATATAATTTCTAGTCATTAATATTAACTATTTATTTTATTTTGGAGAGACAGGCAATAATATAACAGGTCACAAGGAAAAAAAGGTGCAAAAGGGTACCACAATCAAAAGGCAGGCAAATCAAGTTTTAAGAAAGACGAGAGAAAAAAGTCCCAAGCAATCTGGCAACATACGATTATGAGTTAAAAGTGTTATCCTATCTTAAAACCCTGGAGTACCATTATTAGGGCTACAACCCTAAGGATGTTATTAAAAAATAAAAATGGATTGCTCAATATGAAAATGTTGATAAAGGCTTCTTATATACCATCAAAATAAAAATGGAAACTGAAAATTCCCCACTGGGGAAATTAGGGATTAGAGTAGCTAAATAAATTATGGTAGATCAATGTAACTGAATATGCCATAAAAATGATAAATATGAAGAATACAAAAGAATACATACTTATATGTGGGATGCATACCAAAGAAAAAAACCAAAAGATATACTTTTAAAAAACAACAAAATATATACACAACCAAGCAGAAAGGAGATTGAAAGTGAACACAAGGAAATAGGGCCTTTTTTGTTATTATTTCATTAAATGTAATATGTCCTTTTAAAAAACAAAACTGTGTAAGAGTATTTGTGATTTTTTGGTATGATTTTGCTTATTTTGCAAGTACTCACCTAGACAGTCTACCTGTCACTCACGGAATTTACTTTCTTTGTTTCCCAAACATGACCCAGACTCTCCTCTTGAACCTTTGCCTTCTCGGCAAGGCTCCTGTCTTGCCAAACCCTAGCCCTGGGGCAGCTAGGTGGCTCAGTAGATAGAGTACAGGTCTGAAGTCAAGAAGATTCATCTTTCTGAGTTCAAAGCTAGCCTCAGATACTTGCTAACTTTATGACCCTGGCTAAGTCACTTTACCTTGTTTGTCTCAGTTTCCTCATCTGTCAAATGGGCTGGAGAAGGAAACGGCAAACCACTTCCCAGTATCTTTGCCAAGAAAACCCCAAATGGGGACACAACTGAAAAAAAAACACTAAAAACAACAACAACCTTGCATTACTCCTACTATCTCTTTCCTCAAGAACTCATGAAATCAAGACTAACAGGATCCAGTATAAATTTATATTATCTAATCTCAACTGAGCCCTTACTGAAGCAAGCAAATCTTTTATTCTTAATCGATTCACTGTCACATTTTCTTCCCCATAGCTGCTGTTCCATAACTTCTTGTTCTTCCATAAGCCTCTTGTACCTATTCAGTAGAAGACTTTGCCTCATTTCTTTCTTTTCTTTTTTTTTTTTAGGCAATTGGGGCAAGTGACTTGCCCAGGGTCACACAGCTAGTTAAGAGTCAAGTGTCTGGTCTGAGGTGGGATTTGAACTCAGGTCCTCCTGACTCCAGGGCCAATGCTCTATCCACTGCACCACCTAGCTGCTCCCAGCTCATTTCTTACTAAGAAAAATCAAGGCCATTTGCCACGAGCTCCCTTTTCTTCCCTAATCTATATGATTTCCTATTTCCTCCTCCTTTATTCCTCCTTCCCAAGGCCAACTTCTTTACTTAATCTCTTCCTTTTCATCCAGGGATTGCCCCAACACTCTCTCCCTCTCTCATTCTAATCTTTAGTCTCTCCCTATCTACTGACTCACTATCTGATGCCCAGGTCTCTCTCATCCTTAAAAAAAAAAAAAAGCAACCAAAGGCCAAAATCAAAATCAAAACCAAAAACCAAACCATCCTATAACTATCTTCCCTTTTATAGCCAAGAAAAAGCTGTCTACACTCACTGCTTTCACTTCTTCCCCTCTCAATGACTTCTCAGCCCCTCAAAATCTGGCTTCTGGCAATGATCCCAATGGTCAAATCCAATAGTCTCTTCTCAATTCTCATTCTTTCTTGACCTTTCTGAAACATCTGACACTGCTGACGACTCACTCCTCCTGATTACTTTTTCCTCTTTGGGTTTTTAATGGTCTCTCTTGGTTCTCCTCCTACTTCTCTGACTCTTCAGTCTCCTTAGCTGCATGATCATTCATTCCCCTGTCTGTTGGTGTCCTCCAAGGCTCCATCCTGAGTCCTCCGCTCTTCTTAGTGACCTCATAAGCTCCCACCAGCTCAATGATCATTTCTATGCAGATACCTTTCCCATCTTTATATGTTTCTCTCCTAAGCTCCATTATCAAAACATCAGCTATCTACCAGACTTCAAACTAGATGACCTGGAGGCATCTCACACTAAAAATGTCTAAAACAGAATTCATCTTTCCCCAGAAAACAAAATCTTTCATTTCTCTCAAGGAATGCCACTATCCTCCAGTCACCCAGGTTTACAACCTTGAAATCATTCTTGACTCACCCAGCAGATCCAACCAATTGCTAATTATTGCTGATTCTGCCTCCATGTTATCTCTTATTTTTGACCCCTTCTCTTTACTCACATAGCCACTATCCTATTTGGGCCTTTCATTAGCTTTAACCTGGACTATGCAATAGCCTCCTAATTAATTAGTCCTCCTGCCTCCACTCTCCCCTCCCCACCCAATCTAATCTCCAAGTAGTAGCCAAAGTGATATTCCTGCAACACAAGTCTGATCACGTCAGTCTTCTCCTCAACAGATTCTTGGAGCTCCCTGTGACCTCCTAGGATCCAATACAAATGGTCCTGGCTAATTTAGAGCCCTTTGGCTCCAACCAAACTTTCAAGTCTTTCAAAGGATGGCTCCCCTTCATGCTCTCCATGGTCCAGCCAAGCTGACCTTGCTGTTTTTCACACACAATCTCCCATTACCCTTAGATAGATGTCACACATGCCTGGAATGCATTTGTTCCTTACTTCTCAGTTCCTTTCCAAGCTAAGCTTAAATGCTACACCCTCTGATCTCCCTAGCTGCAGTATCTTCCCCTCCCCCCATGCAATCAATTACCCATATTTATTTTACATATGCTTGTGTGTGTGTATGTGCTGTTTCCCATCTATAAAATGTATGCTCCCTAATGTTCAGTCATTATCAGTTGTGTCTGACTCTTCGTGACTCCATTTGGGGTTTTCTTGGCAAAGATACTGGAGTAGTTTGCCATTTCCTTCTCCAGCTCATTTTACAGATGAGGAAACTGAGGTAAACAGGGTAAAGTGACTTGTCCAGGGTCACACCGATAGTAAGTGTCTGAGGCCAGATTTGAACTTGGAACGATGGGTCTTCTTGACAATAGGCCCAGCATTCTATCTACTGCCCAACCTAGATGCCCTAAGCTCCCTAAGATCAGGATCTATTTCATCTATGTCTTAATAAATGCTCATTTGCTTGACTGAATTGGACAAATCAAAATTCCTAGTAAATATACTACTCCCCAGGGAATAGTGAGTGTTACTCATCCTGACCTCAAAGAAACTGCTGCCTTAAGGGGGGAAGTGGGGATTGACACACTCTGCCTCTAGGTAACAATTATTCAATCACTTCCTCAGCCTACCAGGTAGGAGCCAAAAGGACTGAGCTGTCACTCTCCTAAAACCTAACTCATTCACGAGGAGTAAGGCTCTCCCTGGGAAATTGCTGCACAGAGAATGACCCAGATCACAATGGCCTACTTGTTTTAAAACAGCAACGAATGACATCATTGATCCTTGGCTTTCCTCAAGAACAACACTCTCTCTCTCCTACTGGTGAGAAAAAGTACTCAACCCCTAGTCCTAAAATTAGGTAAGTGTTTCCTAACAGGATGGGCAAAGAAACTACTTTGTGATGGCATTCCACCCACACTCTAGGGATACCTTACAAAACCAGGAGATCTTGACAGCCCAGATGGCTCCTCCCAAAGAATATTTGTTTTGGAGAGCAGTGTAGAAATATTTCCTTTTTCCTCTAAACTCAGTCTCCTCCTAATGGTCAGGGGTTCAGCTAGAATTCTGGCAACATTCTTCCATCCTTCAGTAAATTTTTTTTTTGAGTAAACCTGTGATTTCATTAGAGTAGGGAACTCCAATATTGTATCAACTACTGCCTTTTGGATACTTCAAACTAAATGTCACGTAGACATCTCAAATTCAACATTTCCAAAACAAAACTAATTATCTTTCCCTCCAAAATCATCCCCTCTTCCCAACTTCCCTATTACCATTAAGCAGAGAACCATCTTCAAAGTCACCCTAGAAGGCAACCTCAGTGTCACCCTCAAATCTCAAAAATCAAAATTCAAAAATCATATCCTCAAATTTCAAAAATTGCTCACCCGTGGATCTAATCTGCTGCCAGTCTTATGGTTTCTACCTTCACATCTCTCCTATCTGTCTCTTTCTCTCTACTTGGTCACCATGCTAGTTCAGGCCCTCATCACTTTTTGCCTTGATTATTTCCACAGCCTTATAGTTGCTCTCCCGGCCTCAAGTCTTTCCCTAGTCCAATCCCACCTACAGTCAGCTGCCAAAATAATCTTCCTGAAGTATAGGTATGACAATGTTAACGAATTATTTCAAAGGCTTCAATGGCTCTTTATTTACCTCCAAGAGCAAACCCAGTACCAATGTTGTTTGACATTTAAAGACCTTCACAATCTGGCCCCTTCCTAACTTTCTAGTTTTCTTACACTTCATTTCTTTTCACAAACTGATCCAACAAGACTGTTGGTGTTGAGTCATGTTTCAGTCACATATGACTCTTCCTGACCCCATTTGGGGTTTTCTTGGCAAAGACACTAGAGGGTTTGCCATTTACTTCTCCAGCTCACTTTACAGATGAGGAAACTGAGGCAAACAGAGTGATATGACTTTCTTAGGGTCACGCAGATAGCAAGTGTCTGAGGGCTGGATTTGAACTCAGGTCTTCCGGACTCCAGGCCCAGCACTATATCCACTGAGCCATCCAGGTGCTCGTTGACTAATAGGATTATGTATAGACTAATACTCTACCTATAAGATTTAAAGCTGGCAGCTTAGTTATTACCCAGTCCAACCTTTTCCTTTTACCAATGTGGAAACTGGGGTCCAGAGAGGGAGAAGTGTCACACAACCAGAAAAACTGCAGAGAGAAAATTTTAGAAATCTGGTTCAAAAAAACAGGATCTTTGCACTACAAAAGGCTGCCTCCCAGGACACTTTATCTCACAAGTAGCAATGGAATTTGTGTCAAACAGTATACTGAGATAATGCACAAGGGGCAGCTAGGTGGCTCAGTGGAGAGAGCTCTGGCCTTGGAGTCAGGAGGAACTGAGTTCAAATCCGACCTCAGACACTTGACACTTACTAGCTGTGTGACCCTGGGCAAGTCACTTAACCCCGACTGCCTCACCAAAAAATGCAAAAAAAAAAAAAAAAGAGAGAGAGAGATAATGCATGTAACAGGCTTGGGTTGGTTAACTTTGTAGCCAGTTCTAAAGATGTCTACACTAAATTCTTATAATCTGGTCGATCAACTAAAGGATTTTTTTTTTTAGCAAGAGCACAGAAGTGCAGGTTACTACCAACAGTGAGTAAGCAACAATGTGCTGGGTGTGTACCTTAATTATCTGCCCTGATTCACCATTTCTTGGCAAAGACAATTACCGGTAAGAGAGCAAGGCCTCCAGAAAACTCTGAGTACCATCAGGCCAGCAGTGACTGATGACAGCTGTTATTACTTGGTCTTATTTCACAACGTCTCATTTGCAAATGGGGCAGGAAAAAGAGTAACCTTTTGCCAAATGCAGGATCCTCATAGTATAATTTCTTAGTCACATCTGCTGGCACTCTGTAGGAACACAGGCCATTTTCTTTAGGGAGAAGAAATGCAGATTTATTTAGGGAAACAAAGTTTTGAATTTCCCTCTAGGACTTGACTGTAAAAGTAATTAATATAATTAAAATTAACAACAATAGCTAGTACTTACATAACTCTTCAAGGTTTGCAAAGCGCCTTACAAATATCATCATATTTTACCTTCATAATAATAGGTGCTATTTTTAACCCCACTTTACAGATGAAGAAACTGAGGTAGACAAGTGAAGTGACTCACCCAGGGTCATATAGTTAATGAATCTGAGGCCAGATTTGAACTAAGTTCTTACTGACTCCAGGTCCAGAGCGCTCTCCACTGCTCCATCTATCTGTGTCATATCAGGTGATAATTTTTAGGTACTATGGTACCCAGGGGCAGCTAGGTGTTACAGTGGATAAAGCACCAGGTCTAGAGTCAGAAGAGCTCAAATCTGTCTCCAGACACTTTCTAGCTTAGCTGTGAGACCCTAGGCAAACCACCCCTGTTTACCTCAATTTGTTCTTCTGTCAAATGAACTAGAGAAGGAAATGGCAAACCACTCCAGCATCTTTGCCAAGAAAACCCCAAATAGGAGTCACAAAGAGTCAGACATGACTGAAAATGACTAAACACACATGGTATCCAGACTAAAAAGATTATATTAACCAAGGGAATTGTTTTCCCTTGTTCACTTTGCCTGGTGGTGATCCTCTGAGGATGGACATCTGCCTACCAGTGATTCAATGGCTGGGCACGGAATGAAGGACAAGGTCATTTCACTGGAGAGGCTCAGCAATGGTTTCCACTTCTGTGGCACCTCTACCAACCAATATACTGGTAGTTTTGGCAGTGGCAACCCTCCATCTTACTTTCCTTCTATAGTATAAAGCACAAAGAAGTAGGGTGGTCTAATGGAGAGCTAGCCTTAAAGTCAAGAAGACCTGGGTTCAAATTCTGTCTCTCCCATGTACCTGTTGTGCATCCCTAGGCACCATTTCTCAGTCCCCTAGCCCAGTGGCTCTCAATCACTTCACTTCTTGCCCTCCCTCAGTGACTCTCAAAGTGTGGGCCTGGGACTCCTATGGATCTTCAAAAACCTTTCAGGGAAGTCTGTGAAGTCAAAAGTATTTTCATAATACACTAAGACATTTTAATTTTCAAGACAGTAAATATCCAGAGATATAACATCAATAAAAGCTCTTTGGGATCCTCAATGATTTTTAAGAGAATAAAGGAGGGAGCCAAGATGGCAGAGTAAAAGTGGTGACTTGCTTAAGCTCTCCCCCAAACCCCTCCAAATACCTATAAAAATGGCAACAAATTCTAAAGCAGCAGAACCCACAAAAAGACAGAGAGAAAAAATTTCCAGCCCAAGACAACCTAGATGATTAATCAGAAAGAGAATAAAGGAGTCCTGAGACCAAAAAATTTGAGAACCACTACCCTAGACATTTTTCTGTGTGCATGTAGTAAATGGATCACTACCTGCTTATTGCTATTGTGAATGACGATAAGCTGCTGGACAGGTGTTGATCTACATCTGTAGGGAGGGTTTTCTCACCAGGAGTTCACTATCCCAATTAAATCATAGGTCTGGTTTAAAAAAAAACAAAACAAGCAAGCTTCCCAGTAGATATCTGATAAGTGAATCCTAACCCGTGGAGTCCCATTCTCTGATCTCCTATGCAGTAATTAATATCTCATTTTGATGAGAAATCATATTATTTCGTATTGTTATTCATATGTCTGTATACTTTTCTAGGCAGCTGGATGACTTGGTGGATAGAGTGCTGGGCCTAGAATCAGGAAGATCCGAGTTTAAATTCAGCCTCAAACTCTTATTACCTGTGTAACCCTGGGCAAGTCACTTAACCTTTGTTTGCCTCCATCCACTGGAGAAGGAAATAGCAAAGCACTCCAGTATCTTTGCCAAGAAAATCCCATGAACAGTATGGTCCAGAGGGTCACGACTGAACGACAGTAACAAATTCTTTTCTACCAACCACAATGCTGGCACATGGGAGTTATGCAATCCAGTAACTGACAAAAACAAACAAAAAAAGTGACATTGAATTGTAAAAGTTCCGAGGACATTTCATAGCCCTTCTTATTCCCAAAGGGGCTATGAAGGAAAATTGTTCTATCTCTCACAATCCCTTGGCCCCATCTGCTTGAAATGGCAACAATTTAGAGGCCACTGCCTTTAGCCCTCAGGCCCAAGATCTAATGCTCTGTCTTCCCAACATACCCTAAGGGCTGCCTCCTGGGACTTGAGAGCTGGTTGTTCAAAGGTGTACCATCTCCACAAATGCTTTCCAAACCAAAGAAACATTCCCTGATCATTATTAGAAAATAGCTATGGATATACTGGATTATCACACAAAGCTTCACTACACCATGCCTAACAAAGAGCAGGGATATATAGAGGCCCAATACAAAGTTGTTCACTTACTAAGGATAGCAACTCTAATTCCTTTTCCTGTATTTTTTATGTGAACCCTAGGAAAACAAGAAACAAGTACTATTACTGAACTGCATCATCCTACATTACATGGACTATATCTTGATGTTTGAAATACTCCTATAAGATGAAATAATCCACAAAAGCAAGAATGGGTGTCCCAAGACAAGTAATGTCTCTCTGAGAGTCTAAACAGAAAGCTAGTCCTCCACAGGAATATATAATTTATTTAACGCACTTTACAGACATTAAAGCACCTTATAGATGTCAAAGAGTCAATCAACAGTCATGTCTTGAGTGCTTACTGTGGGCCAGGCACTGTGCTAAAAGCTGGGGACAGAAAGACCAAAATGAGTCCCTGCCCCCAAAGAGCCTGTTTCAGCACATCCACCACAGAGCAGTTTTAATGGGGCCCAATGGACAAAGCCAACTACCAAGGAAATGTCTGAGAAGAACTGGAATCTCAAGGGAGACTTGGGGCATGAGGTAAATGGGAGCATTTCCCAATAAGAGGAATTCTAGGCTGATCTTTCATCATCTTTACTTAAAGTATGTGACCACTTTACTAAAGAACCAGAGGAAAAGGTACCATCATCAGTTAAAACCTATTGCTTGGGGCAGCTAGGTGGTGCAGTGGATAGAGCATCGGCCCTGGATTCAGGAAGACCGGAGTTCAAATCTGGCCTCACACACATAACATTTACTTACTGTGTTACCCTGGGCAAGTCACTTAACCCCATTGCCTAATCAAATTTAAAAAAACAAAACAAAACAAAACCTACTGTGCTGCTGGCACAGGGCATTTTTCAAAAGGCTATGTATCCAAAGTCAATTTCTTTCAGAAAAGCCAAATGTAAATAAAAATGAAAATTATCAATTGCCAATTAATTGAGCTAATGGATGAAAGGCGTGTCCCTTGAGGACAGGGGGCACATTTGATTTATCTTTGTATCTCAGAGCCTAAAACAGCATTTTGTGCATCATCATCATCATTTAAATAAATCTTTTTTTGGATGTACTGAGTTTGCCGAGTAGTGGGAGGAATACAGACCTGTGTAACATTCCTCCATGAATATTCCATAAAATAGGTATTTCCAAAGCAAAAAACTAAGATTTGGCTTCCAAAATAATGACCACCATTGCTATTTGCAAAAGACTAAAGCTGAAGTATAATACAAGGTACTAACCAGAAGAAGGAATTTCCCAACTCATAATTGTCATCACCCTGCTTTTGGGCTCGGACAGTCAGGTCAAAGTTGGAGCCAGCGTTTGGCCAGGAGAAATAGAACATCCCAGAGTTAAGAATTTTTTTCAGTGCAGTGAGACGGTCTTCTTCCTTGACATCTTCCTGGAGTGGACAGAAATCTATTGCAGTGATTTTATAGATCTCAGCATCAAGAATTCTTCCCACGGATGTACAGCCTGTCACCAAGACCAGGAAGCTCAGTTGTTTGCCACCTAGAAAGTTAATCAGAAAAGGAAGGATTATCTGTGACTGCTCCCATGGAAGCAGAGGAGACCTGATAAACACGGACATAATAGCCATAAAAATATGGTCACACTGTTACCATGGCTACTGTGATACCATTTTCACCTCGCCCTGCTCCCCATCCCTTTAGGAGTAGATAGAGCATGTTATATGCCCCCAGTAGAGCATAAACTTGAGAGAACGGATAGTTTCATTTTATCTTTGCATCCCCAGTAGAGTGGGTTCTTAATAAATGTGTGTTGAAAAGTGGGTGTGCCTTATTTGTTACATGGGAGGACGTCTATTTAGTAGCTGGTGATGAAGATATTTTTGTGATAAAGAAGTAAAAAAAAAAGAGAGAAACATTGATAAAACATTTAAAAATACTAAAACAAAACAAAACCCTGGATGTCCATTGACTGGGAAACAGCTGAAAAAATATGGCATAGGAATGTAACAGAATCTTGCTTCACCATAAGAATGGCAAATATGAGAAACTCAGAGACACATGTAAGATGGTTGTTTGAACTAAGAGAGATGAAAGCAAAATAATATTATACAGATAATATATACAACAGTTACAAATTGGAAATGAAAACACCAAAAGACAGCTAAAATCAAATTAAATTCAATGACTAATATCTGTTCCTAGGATAGGCGATGAAACACATCTCCTTCCTCTCATGGATGGGAAGGGAAAGGGGAGAGATTACAGATGATAAATGTTGCATATGCTCACAGACATGCTTCCAATGTCACTTGTTTGTAATTAATTTTTTGTTTATAAGGAAGAAAGGGGTTTTTTTTGAGGGGTGGGAATTAATTGGGAATTAACTATAAAGCAAAAAGTATCAATAAAATATTTTAAATAGATAAACACTGAATGGAACAACAGACTGCTGCTAACATAGCAGAGGTCATAATAGGGCAAGTAGCCAGGTGAAATCCAAATGCAGAGACAGCATATAAGAAAAGAGAACCCAGAGAACAGAAGCACCCTCCATAATTGAAAGGAAAAAAAGAGAAAGCCGAGCTAGAAGAGAGGTTCCCCCAATGGAAGAAGTCTTCAGAGATAAGAAAAAAAAAACAGAAAGGATTCTGAGAGATCCTGAAGCCAGAGAAGAAAGTGGAGATAGCTCAACTGTGTGGCTATAGACTAGCACCCAGGCTGGGAGGGTACCTTTGAAAACCTTGGGGACCCCAATGGCCTTGGAAGAACTGTATTCTGAGAAGTCCTCAGCTAGTGCCAGAGGCATCTAGGATATACTCTTTTAATGACTGAACAGACTCTCTGTCATATTAAGCAATTTACAGAATTGCCTTGGTTCTCTTTTTTGCGCTCTTTTTGCATGTTTGTATAACAAAGTTACATTTTATTTGCATTTAACATATGTGCACAGGCACAGCGTGGTTGCCCAGTAGAGAGATTCTCCCAGGATTCTGAGTTGAGACTCTGAGACCATGAAGGAAAACATCTTTCATAAATGACTTTCAACTCTTGCATGATGATTGGACATATAAATAAGAAAGGGAAGACAAATGGGCCTTAACCCAAGCAGTCTGGAATTGAAACTAGAGGACATGGGTTTTACATCCTGATTCTGCCACTTAATCCCTTTGTGATCTTGGGCAAATCACAGCCTCACTGGATCTTAGTGTCCTCATTGTAAAACAAGGGAGTTGGACCAGATGACCTTGAAGGTCCCCTAACAACTCAAATATATGATCCCATTTATCCTTCATCTACCCCCAAAAAGTTGATATATGTCTGGTCTATCCTTAAGGGTTTATCTTCAACCCAATCTATATTCAAAAGACCATCCCTGGTAAGAAATACCCTATGATTATTAGTCCACTTATTATAGCATACTCATCTCATGTGGTTGGTTTTGTTTTTGTTTTTTTTTTTAACCATATTAGTCATGGTATGAAAGAAGACACAGGTCCACAGGGGAGAAAACCCCCCAAAAATACAGAAAGTGAAAAACAGTATGCTTCAATCTACATTCAGATGCCATCAGTTCTTTCTCTGGAGGTAGACAGCATTCTTCATCATGGGTACTTGTCTCGGATCATTGTATTGCTGAGAATACACCTCATTCTCACAGGTGATCATCATACAATACTGTCACTATCTGTACAATGTTCTGGTTCCACTCGCTTTACTTTGCATCAGTTCATCTAAGTCTTTCCAGGTTTTTCTGAAATTAGCTTGCTCACCATTTCTTATAGCACAGTAATATTCCATTACAATCACATAACACATTCAGCCATTCCAGAATTGATGGGCATGCCCTCAATTTCCAATTCTTTGCAATTACAAAAAGAGCTTCTATAAATATTTTGTACAAATAGGTCCTTTCCCCTTTATTTTAAAAAAAAATCTCTTTGGGATACAGACCTACTAGAGGTTATCATTGTATCAAAGAGTATGCAATTTTATAGTCTTTTGGGCATAATTCCAAATTACTTTCCAGAATAGTTCAATCAGTTCTCCTGTGGTTGTTTTGTTTTTGTTTTTTAGAATCAATAGAATCCTTTGTCAGGACAAAAGAATCTATGGACCAATTGTCCCATACACAACCATGCAATGGAATTACTAGGAAAAAAATATGCTACTTTTTGTGAGATACTGGCGAGGTAATATCCAGCTTTTATTCATTCAATAGATTTATGAACAGTGCCTACCATGTACACTATAAATACTGGCAGGAGATACCAGAGAAACAAGACAATGTCTACCCTCCAACAGCTTAGACTGCATGTAATCAATGAGACAATGTATCTTTTGATATATATTGATACATAGATATATTTTGATATTTAAGTGAATTTTTTTCAATTAACAAACATCTATTTTCTCTACCTTCCTACTCCCACCATTAAAAAAAACTCAAAAAACAAAAAATCTTTGTAATATTCATAATTAAGCAAAACAAATTCTTGCATTGGCCATGTTAAAAAAAAAGAGAGAATTTTTATCTACATAAAAGTTAATTATCGATATAAGGCAGTATGATTAAAAGTCAAAGGGAGCAATATGGACAAGAAGGGGTCAGAAAAGGAACCGATCGCTCTGTGGGCTAACGTCATTTAAAACGGCTCCATGGAGAGGGTAATGCCCAAGTTGAACCAGGATAAGCAGGGAAGAAGGATCTTCCAGAGGGGGTAACATTATAAGCCAAAGTATAGAACAGAAAATAAGAACAGCATATTTCGTAAACTAAGATAATAAGACTGACTTGGCTAAAGCAGAAGATGCATGCTGGAAAATAATGGGAAATAAAGTTGGAGGGGTAGGATAGGATTCCAGGACAAAAGAGGTCAACATTTAAATGTATGCCAGAAATAAGTTATAACAATAGCTTGCATTTACATTTGCTTCATACTTTACAAAGGCAGAGGTGGAGCGGCTGGGAGTATAAGGGACTTGTCCAAGCCATAGAACTAATATAACATACCTAACAAATAGAACAAATAGTGGAAAAGTCACAAGATCAGGCTAACAACAAGTAATTGTGGCAGGATAATGTAACTCTTGTTGAGTCATAATAAAGCTAGAGTGCGCTTGGCACAGTGCCTGGCACACGGTAGGCACTTAATGTTTATTGATTCCAAAACTTAAATTATTTTCATTTCATCTCGCTGTTGCTCCTATCATATCTATAAGACATTAAAAGACTGAAGGACGTTCTAGAGTCAAAGAACCCAGGTTCAAATGCCTACCTGTGACCTTGGGCAATTCATTAACTTCCCTGAGCATCAGAGAGGTTAACATGAGAGTTGTTTCTGATGGCCTCTAAATGGCCCAAGCAATCACCTGGCAGTTCTTCTGCGGATTATATTCTAAGGGCCAAGAGTTGAGAAAACCCTGGGAGACTAGACCAGAATTTAGATTTTTGCCCCGTTGTTCCTCTACATCTTTGACTGATTATTCTTTCCTGAACTCCTAACTCAATCCAAACCCCTTCTTCCACATCTACATGAAGCAGACAGAATATCTCAGAATTCCCACGCAGCACAAGCAGAAACGAATTTCAAAATTATCAACTGATCAGTAAACATTTATTGAGCACCTACTAAGTACCAGGCACTGTACTAAGTGCCACGGTTGCAAAGAGGCAAAAGACAATCTAATGGGGAAACATAAAATGCAAACAAATATATACAAAGCAAGCCATACAGAGGTGAAATAAGAAATAATTAATAAAGAAGGAACTCAGATTAAAAGGGATTAGGAAAGGCTTCCTATAAAAAGTGAGATTTTTTAGTTGAGACTTAAAGAAAGCCAGGCAGTTCGGTAGACCAAGTAGAGGGAGAGCATTCCAGGTATGGGGGGACAGCTAGGGAGACTGCAGCACAGCAGGGGATAAGATGAGGAAAAGGGCAGGATCACCTGGTTTGGCTAGGGCCTTCATTTTATTTTCTGTTAAGAGTCCCATCCACTTCTTCAGGATTCAGAAATCCCTCCTCCAAACAAAGAATCTCAGAGATGCGTAACTTTCTTCAATCCTACAAACAATGGTGGGGGTATGGGGCGGCAGCAGTTAGGGAGTGAAGGAAAACTCAGGCCAGGAGGCTGATGGAAATATGAATTTTCAATGAGCCCTAAATTAAGAGCTTAGGACTATTACAGAAAAAGTGGAACAGACTTCATTCTAGAAAACAGGTAGGGGTTTCCTTGGAAGCTGGTTTCCAAATTAAAATCTGAATGACTATTAGGAAGCAAATGTTTTAATAGTGTCGAAAAATTCCTGTTTATTTTGATTGATTCAGGAGGCTATCTTAGCATAGGTAAAGAGGAGAGTTTTTAGAAAAAAAAGGGGGGGATTGTTCTAGATAATCAAGCAGCAGGAAGACAATCCTAGCTGTCCTAGAATGCTGGAGACAAGATTAGTTACTAAGAACAGTTCTCCTTCCTAAGAGAAAGGCAACAGGGGAAAGAAAACTAACTGTGCGTGGCCTTAACCAAGTCACTAGGGCCTGGTTT